GACATCTGGCAAATCAGTTTGAGATATGGAAACGGCAGCTGGGCTCCAGGAATATTAGCCGTGTGCCCTTAAACATACAGACGAGTCCTTTAATTTCATGTCTTCTTACACCAGTCGGTCGTCCTTGTCTTGATTGTCATCCGCCTCCTCGAGGTTCTAAAACCAGCCAGGAGAGGCTTCCAGGGATATCAAACTTCTCCTATATTAGTCTTAGGTCTTAGCTGACGTCAAGGCTCGTTTTGATGTCCACAATATGGACTTTAAAGGTTCTCCTGGGCACCTTTCTCTTTATGAACGCTTCACGCCGGTCAAGTGGTGAAAGCAAGAACTTTTTTTGGAACCTACTACAATAATAGTAGGTATCCTAGTGTCCTTGGAATCCTCCTAGACTCTAATTATGAAAATGGAATCAACACCTGGTTGCCACTAACAGATTATGTGGATTGGAGCGACATTCACCATATTTAACAAAGTCAACAAACCCATCACACTCCTGACCGCTTAACTCCAAAATGATCGGATGGATGCAGCGGTAGTCAACGGGTGGCAACCGGCATGTATTAGTAGAAGCAGAGACACCGGCACTCCAATATAAATGTGGAAAGTCTTTTTTATTGAAGAGGTGCAACATATCGCATAGATGCATCTATGTGATATGTTGCACCTCTTCAATAAATAAGACCGTCCACGTTTATATTGGAGTGCCGGTGTCTCTGCTTCTACATTCACAATATTTATTCCCAGATATTTTTGGACAAGTCATTCTGAATTGAGAAAGCTGGTGGGATGTCCAGTGAAACGTCTTCAAGAAAAAAAATACAGCAAGTCCAGTTGCCTTGACTTTTGTTTTACAGATATACTACAATAATAGCTCTCCCCTCCCTAATTTGCAGGCACGCCTACTATTATCCATGACGCCTCTAATGTACCATCATGCCACACCCCCATGTACCCCTTTTTATTGTTGGTGGTGAACAGTTTTCCACGCATATATTTGACATGCTACACCTGAATGATGCATTTACTTCAGCCAACCAATCGTAGAACATAACTATACATAAAAGCCAATGCTAATGATATATAAAGCACATGGCATTCCGGACAAACAAGTCAAGAGCCCGCAGAGGTAAAAAGTTGGTTTAACAATTGGGACAATTGTACTGAGTTGCTGACCTGAAAGGCTGTATCTCATCAATAACTCAGTTCCTCGTGTCTCCCTGTTGGCCAGACTATTACATACAACATCAAACATAAACAGAATATAGAGTTGTCACATGACCCATAACTGAAACTTGATAAAAACTAATAAGTTCTGCATTTTAAAACCACAAAAGCAGAAATTTGTATCAACATAAACATATCAATAAACTCTAACAATTTCCTGTCTGGAGTAACCCTCAAAGATTCCTTTCCCTTGCCTCCTCCAGAAATATATTTCCACCTTAACTGGTTTTACGCAAAGCATAGACATGTATGTTTAGATACGCACTGAAGCCATTGAAAATTAAAGATTGGAGATGTAATAGTCCACAAAGAACACACAACATATGAGGATTGAAGCAACCAAGTCTTCATATAGCCTAAGATTATAATGAGCCTTTGGGTTGGTGGTGGTGAAGAAGGGAAACCCGAGCAGCCAGTTTGGAAAAGAGCCACCAGGACATGTGATGAGAGAGCTGGAATAGGACGTCAAGGCATACAGTAGTAAAGGAGATTATGAACATAATAACAAAACACAGACGTAACACATGGAAGTTTACTACTGGGCTTCCATACTTACTTTTGGAATGACCTCTATGTGAAGACTTTGGCCATGATTGCCCACATTACCCATCCTGCCAGTCACTCTTCACCCCAGTGGAGAGCTTCCTTAAAAGCAAGGCATAGTGGTCGATCTCTAAACTACGCTCATTGAATTCTTGAGTATCTACCGCATTTCCCAACTCAGATATCCGACACGAGGTGTAGTCGCCTCTCTGCAGCATGAATGGAGATCGTGCCTGTGAACATCATTAGTATAAAGCCTTGTGCATCTGCTGGGGTCTGCTGGATGACTCTGTGACAATTATATTCTGGAAGCGGGTGGAATTCATGCACGTGAAAGTGACAAGCAAATTGGGACAGACAGGACTGTGAGGGAGGTGGAA